ACTACACCAGTCACGTGACCTCGATGACGCAACACCGTATTTAAGAAATAAACTACTTCGTTGTCGTTACATGTACTGCACTTGGCATTATTTTTATCAGTTAATCCAAAAGAACACGCTAAATGATAGAACATGTTACAGCATTATTGTTATTAATGTTAACAGAGGTGCTGGAGTGTAAAGATGATTAAAAGCTAAGTGCTTGGAATTTTTAGAAATTATAGACAAATTAATATTCTTCCTAGTTCTAATTAATTTCGAGTTGTTTTGAGAAGACAATTGTAAATTTTTTACTTAAACTATGCAATTTTGTACTAAATTATTAATATTAAATTAGGCTTATTAGTAGGCCTTTCTGTGGTGTAGATTAAGTAAGTTAGATACTAAATTAGTAAGCCTTTCTGTGGTGTGGATAAGTACGTTAGATACTAAATTAGTAGGCCTTCTGTGGTGTGGATTAAGTACGTTAGATACTACATTAGTAGGCCTTTCTGTGGTGTGGATTAAGTATGTTAGATACTACATTAGTAGGCCTTTCTGTGGTGTGGATTAAGTACGTTAGATACTACGTTAGTAGGCCTATTATGTGGTGTGGATTAAGAACGTTAGATACTAAATTAGTAGGTCTTTCTGTGGTGTGGATTAAGTACGTTAGATACTACGTTAGTAGGCCTATTATGTGGTGTGGATTAAGTAAGTTAGATACTACATTAGTAGGCCTTTTTGTGGTGTGGATTAAGTACGTTAGATACTACGTTAGTAGGCCTATTATGTGGTGTGGATTAAGTAAGTTAGATACTACATTAGTAGGCCTAGTATGTGGTGTGGATTAAGAACGTTAGATACTACATTAGTAGGCCTATTCTGTGGTGTGGATTAAATACATCAGATACTAAATTAGTAGAACTATTTTTTGTCACCCTCCCAGAGGCACAGCGGCATGTCTGCGGACTTACAACGCTAGAATCCAAGTTTCGATACCCGTGGTGTGCAGAGCACAGATAGTCCATTGCGTAGCTTTGTGGTTAATTACAAACAAACAAACAAGAACTATTTTTTAACTGTTAATATATTTCCTCGTGGGAAGTGGAACAAAACTGTTAGGCTAGATTACTGTTAAGTAAAATACCTAACTTCATTGCTGTACAAAAGATATTATACTATATCAAAAAGAAGCATCTGGCTGGCTTAGTTAAGCCTTTATAACTTATTTTTTCAATGATTATAGTTGGAAATATTTATATCAACATCTAATGAATATCAAGTTTTTCTCTCTAGAATACAATAGATTAATTTGCTTTGTTTGTTTGATTGTTGAAATTTGCGCAAAGCGACACGAGGGCTATCTGCGTAATTTTGATGTGATAAACTAGAGGAAAGGAAGCTAGTCAACAGCCTTCACCACCAACTAGTCAACAGTCTACACCACCAACTTCTGAGCTACTCTTTACAAAGAATATTGGGGTGACCGTCACATTTTAGCTACTTTCTTTTTTAGTACGGGTTTTATTCTTTGTTTTTGTGAGTTTCTTTGTTTCAAGTTATAAAACCGTGTCATACACTGGACTCTTATACTTGTTTATAAATACCATTACTATACTTTATTGTTTACTTTGCGTATAGTTTTATTAAATAAAGTTATGTCTACCTAAGTTTGTCTGACCGCGTAAATTTTTTCCAAGTACACCAGGATTTATCGATCTAACACATAATTCCTGCAAGAAAAGCGTAGTTTAAATTGTGAGCGTGAAGACGATAGAATAAGGAAAATTCAAGCGAAGGGCATGAAAACTATCGCAAATATTTATCGGGTTGCGGCTAATATATATATATACATTGCTTGACTTAATGTAATCGAACTCTTCTTCATGATGACTTTACATTCGTGTAATTTGTTTCAATAATTATCGTTTTAGATACAAAATACATTTGTTCACGTAACACTATTTAACTTAGCTATCATACATATGTGTTCAAATCACAAAGGTCACGAACCTTGACCAGGAATAATCATACCATCTCTGAACTCGTCTCTGCATTCCGTGAGGCACCTTGTGGTGTCGCATGTACAGTTTGGCTCCGTCCTGAAATAAACACCACAATCTATTAACATCTGTCAACAGTTTGGTACCGACTTGAAATAAACACAACAATCTATTAACATCTGTCAACAGTTTGGCTCCGTCCTGAAATAAACACCACAATCTATTAACATATTTCAAGACGAAACCAAACTGTTGACAGAACACAACAATCTATTAACATCTGTCAACAGTTTGGTACCGACTTGAAATAAATACAACAATCTATTAACATCTGTCAACAGTTTGGTACCGACTTGAAATAAACACAACAATCTATTAACATCTGTCAACAGTTTGGTTTCGTCTTGAAATAACACAACAATCTATTAACAGCTGTCAACAGTTTGGTTCTCTTTTGAAATAAACACAACAATCTATTAACATCTGTCAACAGTTTGACTCCGTCCTGAAATATAAACAACAGAACCAGTAGATATTCTTATACAATAGTACCTGAACAACAGAACCAGTAGATATTCATATACAACAATACATAAACAACAGAACCAGTAGATATTCTTATACAACAATACATAAACAACAGAACCAGTAGATATTCTTATAGAATAGTACCTAAACAACAGAATCAGTAGATATTCTTATACAATTGTACCTAAACAACAGAACCAGTAGATATTCATGTACAACAATGTATAAACAACAGAACCAGTAGATATTCTTATACAACAATACATAAACAACAGAACCAGTACATATTCTTATACAATAGTACCTAAACAACAGAACCAGTAGATATTCATGTACAACAATGCATAAACAACAGAACCAGTAGATATTCTTATACAACAATACATAAACAACAGGACCAGTAGATATTCATATATAATAATACATAAACAACAGAACCAAAGATATTCATATACAACAATACATAAACAACAGAACCAGTAGATATTCATATACAACAATACATAAACAATAGAACCAGTAGATATTCATATACAACAATACATAAACAATAGAACCAGTAGATATTCTTATACAATAGTACCTAAACAACAGAACCAGTAGATATTCATGTACAACAATACATAAACAGCAGAACCAGTAGATATTCTTATACAATAGTACCTAAACAACAGAACCAGTAGATATTCTTATACAACAATACATAAACAACAGAACCAGTAGATATTCATATACAACAATACATAAACAACAGAACCA